AGACGTGGCTGCAGGACCATATCCCCGACTCCAGCGTCTCTCTGCCAGGATTCCTGACTGTACGAGCAGACAGAGATCTGAAGAGGAGCGGGAAAAGAAAAGGAGGTGGAGTGGCAGTGCTTGTCAACAACAGATGGTGCCATCCAGGTCATGTTTCAGTGAAATGTCATCTCTGCAGCCCAGATGTTGAACTCTTGGCAGTAAGTTGTCGCTAAGCTACAAACCCAGCACCCCAATGCATTTGCTGCTATATCTGGTGATTTTAATCATGCCTCGCTCTCTGCTACACTTCCAACATTTCAGCAGTTTGTCAGCTGCTCCACCAGAGAAAACAAGACATTGGATTTGTGTTATGCAAACGTAAAGAATGCATACATGTCCAAAACAAGACCTCCTTTGGGACAATTCTACTCAGAATACAAACCACTTGTTCAGAGGCAACCTGTGACAAGAAGAACTGTGAGAAAATGGTCACAGGACACTGAAGAAACTTTACAGGGTTGTTTTGAGACCACAGATTGGATGAACCTTTGCCAAGGATATGAAGAGGACATCAATGCCATGACTGGATGTGTCACTGACTATATAAACTTTTGTGTGGACAACATCATACCCACCAGAACAGTAAGATGCTTTGCTAATAACAAACCCTGGATCACCAGTGAACTGAAGAATCTGCTAAATGAGAAAAAAAGAGCCTTCAAGGAGGGAGACAGGGAATTATTGAGGAGTATACAGAAGCAACTGAAGATCAAGATCAGAGACAGCAAGGAGGCATACAGGAAGAAGCTGGAGAACAAACTACAGAGGAACAATATCAGAGATGTCTGGTCAGGGATGAAGAAGATCACAGGCTTCAAGCAGAGGAAGGACTGAAGAAAAAGAAGAAGAAAATATCATTTCTACAGCGCCTCTCACGATAAAAATCACGAGGTGCTTCACAAAAACAAAATATATGTATATATATATAAAATTGTAAAAATATAAAAAAGCATTTAGAAAATGTTTTAAAAAATATATGTAAAATGAGCAAGAATAAGCAATTGCGATTTAAAAGAAAAAATGTTAAGAAAGAGAGAGAGTGAACATGAAAGAGGGAAACCAGTGGATCCTGAGGAAGGTGGAATAGGTGGGGAGAGCAGAATAAAGAGAGAGAGGTGAAGAAGGTCATACAAAAGCCAGCTTGAACAAGTGAGTCTTCAGCTGCTTTTTAAAGGAGACCACTGAGTCCACTGATCTCAGGCTCAGGGGGAGAGAGGTCCAGAGTCTGGGGGCCACAGCAGCAAATGATCCTTCACCTTTGACCTTTAGCCTGGTGCTGCACAACCAGTAGGCTTTGATCACTGGACCTCAGGGACCTGCTGGGGGTGTAGGGACTAAGAAGATCACCAATGTAAGATGGTGCTTGTCCATGTAAGGCCCTATAGACCAGAACCAGGATCTTGAAATGAACCCTGAAGTTGACTGGCAGCCAGTGAAGCTGGAGGAGAAGCGGGGTGATGTGGGTGTGTTTGGAGGACTTGGTCAGAAGCCGAGCACAGGCGCTCTGAAACACCTGTAGACGGTTCAGGGAGGTTCTGCTCAGACACGTGAAAAGAGAGTTACAGTAGTCTAAGCGTGAGGAGATGAAGGTGTGGAGAACTGTCTCAAGTTCAGAGCGGGACAGAATGGGACTCAGCTTAGCAACGTTCCTGAGATGGAAGAAGGAAGAGTGAACAAGAGAACTGACATGAGAATCCAGGGTGAGAGCTGGGTCAGAGCACCTCCTGTTCACCCTTCGTATCCTGGCTCCATCACCTGAACTTCTCCAATCTTCTGTCAAACATCAGCACTGAATGACTGATGAGGGCAACAAAGTGTGTACGTGTGTGTGTGTACCTCTCAGTCTCAGTGTGTAGTAGTCCTTGTGGGCGGGGTCAAACGTCTCAGATGTCATTGTGCCTTCCATCGCCAGGGTGGCAGCCTGCTCCTCCCTACGGGTGTAGTTATATTTCATTGGTAACGTTTCCATGTGAACAGATGGGAAGGTGGGGGTGCTGCTGAAGAGTAAGGTATCATCATCATCATCATCATCATCATCATCATCCTCATCAGCAGGACTTTCCAGGAACTCCATGGAGGTTTCAAACAGAATAACTGCACAGAGAAGGTCAAAGTTCATTTAGATGAGTTCATTTGACATGATCTCTCTAGGTGGCTGAAAGGACATATGGTCTTTTGGGTCCAGAGGGGACAAACAAGAAGAAGGACAGGACTGGCGCTCCTCTACAGATGTTTGTCTGTACAAGTTTGTCTATGGAGCTAGGATTGGGACAACATTCAGCGTAACTTGTACCAAGTTTTGTAACTTGGAACATGTTTCATCACATGTAACTTTGGATTCGTAACTTGTAACTTTAGTTTTCTAACTTGTAGTTCTCAATTCGTACTTGTATTTCTTGTTTTGTAACAGGAAATTTTCATTTTGTACATGTATTTTTTATTTTGTTAAATCAAACTTTTATTTTGTACATTTACTACTAGGGATGGGTACCTTTGACATCTGAATCGATCCGGTACTAATTCTCGGTACCTAGGAATCGATACCGGTACTTAACGGTACCAATTTTCGATACTTTTGAGTGTTTATTATTTTAATTCTCTTTTATAATTAAATATATATTTTTCTCAATATATAACCATATTTGATAAATATCACGATAAATAACACACAACTGTTTGTATTTTAACATCGTCCTTGTAGTTTTATAAGCTGATAATTAAACTGAAGCAAACATCTTTACTGTGAACTAAATTTACTGTGTATCTTCATTCCTTTTGCCGTCTTTTTTCATTTGATTTTTCCTACTGGGAAGTTAGAATTTCCGAGGAGAAAGCAAACGCACCATTAGCTGATAACAATGGTGGCAATGGAAGCTAACATATCAAGCTAACGTTATCTTAAACTGTTTATTTAGCTGCTGGAGCAGATTAAAACGATGATGCCTCACACTTGGATCGTTGTCGCTGGTTTCATCTTCACCCAATCACCCGTCGCATTTAGTAAAGTGAAGCCAAACTTTAGAGCGCGTTCATGTTCTTCTAGTCGGAAATTTGGAGTTCCGAGGAGAAAGCGAACGCACCATTAGCGAAACGGAAGCTAACATATCAAGCTAACGTTAACTTAAACATTTTATTTACCTACCGGAGCAGATTAAGATGAGGATGTCTCACTTAGATCATTGTCGCTGGTTTCATCATCACCCAGTTACCCATCACATTTAGTGAAGTGGACCCAAGCGTTAGCGTGCATTCTTTCTACCATGCTGCTCTGTTTACAACTCGCTCGCAGCGACCGACGACGTAACGCTCTTGCGCATGCGCAGCTGTCTAGGCAAGTTCTCGTTACGAAGGACGGGTACCGAAACGAGGCACCGTTTGAAACGACGTGAATCGGTGCTCGGTCTGTACTATGGAATTCGGTCGGTACCTTAAAAAGTACCAAATTCGGTACCCATCCCTAGTTACTACTCATTTTGTAACATCAAACATTCATTCAGAAACATGAAACTTTCGTTTTGTAACTAGCAGACTTCCAAATTGAAAAAATCAAGGTACAAGTTTGAAATCAAAACTCTCAAAACACACATTTCATTCTCCACGTACAAATCAAATCTACAGTGTTACGGATCTTTTTGTCTCGATTCTAGCGTCAGTGGGAGGAACTTGGGTGGAACCAATGAGAGCACGAGTCTTAGCTACCAATCACGTTTCTCGAATTCCTGTCCAATCATTGTGAGAGGAGGGCGGGGTTCTGTCAGAGCTGTAGAGAGAGTTACGACACGGAATGGGGGAGTCACGTGGTTCATGCAGCTTCGAATAGTTCCAAACAGCCCCGCTGCTGCATTGACCGTAGTTCATTTTCGGTGTTTCTGAAGGATTTTCTCCGGTAAGTTGATGAAATGTCATCATTTTGTTGCATTGTGAAGCGTTAGCTAACCGCTTCGTACCAAAATAAGCCAACGATGGTATTTTATGTTGCCAGTTTTAGCTAGATAACCTTTAATGAGCTAACTGTGTGTAGCTTGTTGGTTGTGAGCAGGAGGACGAACTGTAGACGGGTTTATTTCAGCTTGTTTGATTCTACATTTTAGAAATATTCCCCACAGTTTGAAATAGGTTATAAACTTTTTACATTATTAGTTTTATTTGGGATTTTTTTGTACAATACGTTGCTGGTTGCTGTATCAACACGAACATGCATCAGAAATGGAAGCACAAATGGAAGAGAGCAATAATAAAGAAAATGTGATTGTGAGGACACGTAATTATTTAATATTTTCAGTTAATAACACTGACTGCAGCAAACTGCTGAAGCTTGAGACAAACCGGATTACGAACGTAAGAAGATATGTTGTTCTGTTCTGTGGACTCAAGTAATAAGAATAGAATTAAGATAATTCAAGAACAGTAGTCGAACAATAACTTTTAAAAATTAGACATAAAACTGCTCATTTCCACTTGCTTTATAATATCAGCATTTGCAATTTTGTTATTAAGGAATGACAAGAAATAAGAATTAACAATAACACAACTATCAATAAATAAATGTCAAAGTAACTAAAACAAAGATCTTATGTAACCATTAAAGGTTAAACTGTGTCGTGTGTCCATCTTCATGTTTTCATAGTGGCTGAGCGGAGAGCTGACCAGAAACAACGGTGGTGGAAAAGCCCACTTGGGTCTGTGCTGGAGTGATGCACGCCTGGAGTGATCGCCATCTCATCCACAGTGAGCACACACTCTCTTTCCATCTCTGTCAGACTTTAACCTTCAAACTGAGCATGTCACACACCTCTCCTACCACACCTGGTTCCAGTTAACGGGCTGCATTTGACTGTGCAGGGTTCTAACATCGGGCAGAGGGACACTCATGTCCTGAAGAAACCTGCAGCCTGTTGAACCCACTGAAAAACGGAGCTGTACGGCCTTTTTGATTGTCTGTTTCCTCCCTTAGGTTTTCCAGCTGGGTTCCCTGGTTGCATGGCCTGTTCCTTTCTCCTCCTGGCCCTGACGCCGGCTCCTCATGGCTTCCTGGGATGTCCCTCTCTCCTGATACCATCTCATGTCCCCCTCACTTTCCCTCATCTCATTTGCCTCACTGCTGCTGCTGCTTTCCTCATTCTCTGAATTTATAATGGACTGTTAGAATAAAGAATCATTTTAAAATAAAATACATGCAAATGTCTAATATTTCAAAAGATTGGTACCACAGTTTACTTGAGTACAACATGTGTGGTCACTGGTCAGTGGACCAACATGCAGAGGTTCTGCTGTACCTCTCACTGCGGGGTCCTTCCTCCTCCTTGGTTCAGGGTGATGAACAAACAGAATCAGCCCTGAGTCTCACCTTGCCTTGCCTAGTCTTAGTAAACGGTCCCTCCTCTACATGTGCCTGTAGAGGGGTGTATTAGTTTATTTCCTGCCACATTTAACAGTTTAATGGCAGCCTTGTGCAGCTGAGAGCAGAACATGTAGAGCCTGGATGGAAAACATGTGAGAGTGCACGTTAAACTCGCTGCACACAGCTTTGTGTTGTTGTGATCTCTGGTCATGGTGAGGTTGCTCCTGCTGACTGGAGCCATTTTCTTCTCTCAAGCCAACAAGCTGGTTCCCAAAGTCAGAGACTCTCTTGGTCAGCTTGCTTCCCACACCAAACCTTCTGTCAGGAATCTTGGCGTGACCTTTGACCCAGCTCTCACCCTGGATTCTCATGTCAGTTCTCTTGTTGGCTCTTCCTTCTTCCATCTCAGGAACGTTGCTAAGCTGAGTCCCGTTCTGTCCCGCTCTGAACTTGAGACAGTTCTCCACACCTTCATCTCCTCACGCTTAGACTACTGTAACTCTCTTTTCACGTGTCTGAGCAGAACCTCCCTGAACCGTCTACAGGTGGTTCAGAACGCCTGTTCTCGGCTTCTGACCAAGTCCTCCAAACACACCCACATCACCCCGCTTCTCCTCCAGCTTCACTGGCTGCCAGTCAACTTCAGGGTTCATTTCAAGATCCTGGTTCTGGTCTATAGGGCCTTACATGGACAAGCACCATCTTACATTGGTGATCTTCTTAGTCCCTACACCCCCAGCAGGTCCCTGAGGTCCAGTGACCAAAGCCTACTGGTTGTGCAGCACCAGGCTAAAGGTCAAAGGTGACAGATCATCTGCTGCTGTGGCCCCCAGACTCTGGACCTCTCTCCCCCTGAGCCTGAGATCAGTGGACTCAGTGGTCTCCTTTAAAAAGCAGCTGAAGACTCACTTGTTCAAGCTGGCTTTTGTATGACCTTCTTCACCTCTCTCTCTTTATTCTGCTCTCCCCACCTATCCCACCTTCCTCAGGATCCACTGGTCCCTCTTTCCTGTTCACTCTCTCTCTTTCTTTACAGTTTTAATCACAATTGTCTATTTTTGCTCATTTTAAATATATTTTCAAACATATTCTAAATGCTTTTTTATATTTTTACATTTTTTGTTTTTGTGAAGCTCCTCGTGATTTTTATCTTGAGAGGCGCTATAGACATGATGTTTTCTTCTTCTCTCTGCATCTTTGGGGAAGCCGTAATTCTGATTCCTCCCTCAGACCGATAGCTGTATGCAGCGCAGCAACCATGTAAGGTAATCAACCTATAAAGGTAGTATTAAAATACTATTTTTGTACATATTGAAATATTGAACTAAACCAAAAATATAGAAATGTAAAATTACATTTTAAAATTTTATCCAATCCTAAAATTAGTCATTTCACATTTTAACCCACGGACACATTTTATTTTAATAATAATCAAAACAAAGTTATTCAGAAGAGTTTCATTAGGTCTTGAGTACATTGCTCATAATGAATGATTCAGCTTACTTGTGCATATGTAATGACTAAACATGATGTTGGTGAAATGCTTTATTAAACATGATATTATACACGTTGTACAAGTTTGGTGTTTGTTTTTCACAGTTAACACTTTTTTTATCTACTGTGATGAACCATACAGTTCTATTGAAGTTTTATTTGTAATTAGTTGCTATAGAAGCCAGATAAACTGGGTTATAGATGCATGTACTGTCTTCACATACAAATACTTTAAAATGGATATTACAACTCGAGTTTA